GGATTCGAGCTCGCAAACGGAAACTCGCGTTCATTCCAAGCTCCGGCGGGCTGGTCCGGTCGGTTTTGGGGAAGAACAGGCTGCACCGTCGATGGATCAGGTCACTGGTCATGTGCCACGGCTGATTGTGGTACCGGAGAAATGGAATGCCATGATGCTGGAGCAACCCCGCCGGCCACCTTGGCGGAGTTCACACTGGGATCAGGTTCCACACAGGACTTTTACGATGTCAGCCTCGTCGACGGGTATAATTTACAGATGATCGTGGAGGTGAACGGTGGGTCGGGTAACTGTGTGACGACGGGATGCGTGGATGATTTGAACCGGTGGTGCCCGACTGAGCTGCGGGTGGACGGTGGCGGAGGGTGTCGAAGTGCATGTGATGCGTTTGGGTCGCCGGAATATTGTTGTAAGGGGGCGTTTGGGACTCCGGAGACGTGTCGGCCGACGGCATACGCGCAGGTGTTTAAGGCGACGTGTCCGAGATCATACAGTTACGCATACGATGATGCCACGAGTACGTTCACGTGTGCAGGGGCCGATTACATCATCACATTTTGTCCCTCAATCCTAAGGTAGATTTTTACTACCGCCCGTCTGGTCAACCATCACTTAATTTATCAACTTATATATTTATTCCAGTATATCATCGGTAATAAGAACTTTTGAGTGTTTGGGTAAACAATTTATACCGATGTCAAGCCGGTAATAAGAAGTTTTCAAAGAAATTAAACCCTTAAAACTTATAATAAGTTGATAAGTGTTTTTTATAGAAAAACAAAAATTGTTTCAAATAAGCAATCCCAAACACCCCCTAAAATAAAGAAATTTACTTTTTAACTATTTTTTTTATAAAAATCATGCATTTTTATTACTTATTATAATATTTATCATGAATAGTTGATTTTTACATTTTTTTTAATTATTCTGTTGATAATTAAATTATTTATTACAGTAACAAAAATGCAAAAGGATTAACGAAGTCTACAGACGGGAGAGTGTCGGGCACGTTAGACGGATTGTTCTCGAATAGTTCATTATATGCCGATCTCGCAGTAGGACGTTCGAATGTCGTTAGCCGTCCTTGTATAAAACTTGTGTCTATTTCATTTATTATTTCTCTAATATATATTTTACATAATTTCTGATTTTGTAATTTAATTTTTATTTTAATCTTGATGTATTTTAGGAGTTGGTCAAAACTTTGATTAACAACGTCAAAGACCTTCCAGTCTAGTGGTTAAGGCCTGGGCATGACATAGTCATGAATCCGAGTTCGAGCCCTGGGAGGGGAGTGTTGGCGACATTTAAGTGGGGTCATGTTTAGCCTCCAAATTTGTCGGGGATTAGTTGGGCTTTGGCCCGGACACCCTTACAAAAAAAAAAAGTCAAATATTGTAATTATTTATACAAAAGTAGTTCCTTTATGTGATATTAATGATAGACTAGAAAACTCGTAGTCGTATATTACAGAAATCAAATAAAAGTAATTCATTGATTAGCTTTAAATAAAACGAAGGATTGTGTGAGAATAGAAGTTAAAATAAGAAGTATGGGAAGATTTAATTTCTTGATCATTTACAATTTCAAACCAAACTATGAATTGCACTGTAAAAATGAATTTATCTGGTACTTTTCATTAGTGTTAATCTAGTGGAACTCTTCAATTAAAATTGATCAAATGATACAGATACTTCTTACTATCTCACCATAACTCTCATTCTTATCGAAATTCAACCCTTTTATTTGATTCTTATTTTTTATTTTCTTATACTATTTGACTTGTTTCCATCTTGCAAAATGATCTAAATTGTGTGTGGGGACGTGACGTGATGATGAGCAGGGCGGACTTATATGGAGTGTGGGGGCAAAGGCCCCCAGTCAAGGTTTAAAATTTTAAAATATACAATCTAGGAAAAAAAGGTGTTAGTTTCTTTTAGTGGACCAATCCATTTTTAACGAATCCCTACACTCCTTTATTTGATAATTGTTTTTTCGTACTTTGATTGTTTTGTTACTTTAAGTTGTTGTAATTGTGTTACAATGTTGACATTGGTTGATGATTTTATTAAATATATCTTAATTTCTTGTTCTTTTAAACCATAAGGGTGGTGTCTGATTGGTTTGAGTTTGACTCCAAATGTCAAAAATACTAGGAGGTCTTAAGTTCAAATCCAAGGAAGAATAAAAATCTCTTTGTGGCCACGGAGGTTCAAATGCGGTGACTTTGACCTATCTGCAAAGCAGGTGGTCGCCATGGGCTTAGTCGGCTCGCATGGCGGGTTGAATATTCAGGTTAATCAAAAAAAAAATTGTTCTTTTAGTTAAGTAATTAATCAATTCACCTAATGTTAACTTCGTATATGTTTAAAATCAATTCATCTATAAAAAAAATTATATAAAATAATAGTATAGTTTGCTATTCTATTACGGTAAAAAAAAATCGACACAGAAACTTACCTTATTTGGTTAACTGAACCGT